GAAGAAAGAAGAAAATTCCATTTATAATAGCATCTAAAAGGATAAAATACCTAAGGATAAATTTGACCAAAAGAGTGAGACTTTTACACTGAAAACTGTAAATCAGTGCTGAAAGAAATTAAAGAAGACCTAAATTAATGGAAGAACATTCCATGTTCATGTATTGGAAGACTCAATATTGTTAAGATCTCAATATTACCCACAGCAATCTTAGATTCAATGCAATCCACACCAAAATTCCAACAGCCTTCTTTGTAGAAGTGGAAAAGCCAATCCTCAAATTTATATAGCACTGCAAGGGTCCCTGAATAGTCAAGCAATCTTGGAAAAAGAACAAAGTAGGAAGCCTCACACTTCCTGATCTCAAAACATAGTATAAAGCTACAGTAATCACAACAGTCTGACACCAGTGTAATGACAGACATAAAGATAAATGGGATAGTACTAAGAATCCAGAAATAAACCTGTACATCTATGGTCAATTGATTTTCGACAAGGGTACTAAGTCCATCCAACAGGGAAAGAAGAGTCTCTTTAATAAATGGTGCTGGCATGCCTGGATTTCCACATGCAAAAAGAATGAACCTGGATCCATGCCTTACACCATTTATGATAATTAACTCAAAATGGATCAAGGACCAAAATGCAAAAACAAAAACACAAAACTCTTAGAAGAAAACACAGGGGTAATTCTTCAGGACCTAGTTTTTAACATGAATTCTTAGATATGACACTGTGATGGTTAATGTTATGTGTCAACTTGGCTAGGCTATGATTCTCAGTGGGTTGGCAGACATTGGACTGATTGTTCTTCCATAATGTAATATAATGTAATCACCTCCAAGATGTGATCTGATGTGTTCAGTCAATCACTTGAAAGGGGAGTTTCCTTGCGGGTGTGGCCTGCCTCCAATATATAAGTGGATGTTCTTGCAAGGCTCTCTCTCTCTCTCTCGACCCTGCACTCCTTCTCATTGCCTGACCTCTGGTTCTTGGGACATAAGTCTGCAGAAGTCTTCAGCCTGCCACCTGACCTGCAGATTTTAGATTTGCCAGCTCCTGCAACCCTGTGAGCCAGTAGAAGTCTTCAGCCTGCCACTTGACCCACAGATTTGGGACTTGCTAGCCCCCACAATTGTGTGGGCCATTTCTTGGAAGTAAATCTCTATTTATATATACACTTCACTGGTTTTGCTCCTCTAGAGAACCCAGACTAAGAAAGGCACCAAAAACATGAGGAACACATACTATATAAAATTAATTGGACTTAACTGAAATTAAAAACATTTCTTTATCAAAGGAGTTTATCAACAAAGTGAAGAGACAACCTACAGATTAGGAGAAAAAAAATACAAACAACTCAATGTAAAAATGGGCAAATGTCTTGAATAGACATTTCACCAAAGAAGAAATACAAATGGACAACAAGCACATGAAAAGATGGTCAATGCCATTAGTCATTAGGGAAATAAAAATCAAAACCACAGTGAGTATCACTTGACCCTCACTAAGACAGTTATGTTTTTTTTTTAAAAAAGGAAAACAATAGGTGTTGGAGAGAATGTGGAGAAATTGGAACCCTCCTCCATTTGCTGGTGGGATTATAAAATGGTAAAGCTGCTGTGGAAAACAGTCTGTCAATTCCTTAAAAAGATAAACATAGAATTATCATATGATTCAGCAATTGCACTCTTAGGTATATACCCAAAGAAATTGAAAGCATGAAAGCAAACAGATACTTGTTCACCAATTCTTATTGCAACACTATTTACAATAGCCAAAAGGTAGAAACAATGCAAGTGTCCATCAGTAGAAGAATAGACAAACAAAATGTGTTACATGTGTACAATGGAATAATCCTCAGCCAAAAAAAAAAGAAAAAAGAAACCCTGATACGTGCTACAACATGGATGAACCTTGAAAACATTATGTTGAGTGAAATAAGTCAGTCATAAAAGGACAAATATTGTATGATCCCAGTGATATAAAATATCTAGAATAAGCAAATATATAGAGACCAAACTTATTAGTGGTTACCACGGGCAGGAGAGAGAGAGAATGGGGGAGTCATTGCTTAGAGGGCACTAAGCTTCTGTTAAGTGTGATGGAAAAATTGGGAAACAAATAGTGTGCACGGGTGCAGAACATGATAAACATAATTAATGTCACTGAATTGAATATGTAAAAATGTTGAAATGGAAATGTTTTGATATATATATTTACCACATTAAAAAATGAAGAAAAATAAACAGCCTCAGTGAACTGTGGGACACCGTTCCGTACACCAACATACATGTAATAGGGGTACCAGAAGGACAGGAGAGAGAGAAAAAGGAGCAGAAAAAATATTTTAAAAATAATGTCTGAAAATTCCCGAATTCTATGAAAAACACTAATCTACCCATCCAACAAGCTCAACAAACTCCAAGCAGAATAAACAGAGAGATCCAACCCAGACATATTATAGTCAAAAGCCAAAAACAAAGAAAAAACTTGAAAGCATCAGGAGACAAATGACTAGTCACATACAAGGGAACCTTAATAAGATTAACAGCTGAACTCTCATCAAAAACAATGGAGGCCAGAAGACAGTGGGATGATATATTTGAAGTGCTGAAAGAAAATAAGTCAACCAGGAATCTTATGTCCAGCAAAACTATCTTTTAAAACTGAAGGGGTATTAATGACATTCCCAGATAAACAACAGCTGAGAGAATTTGTTGCTTAGCTGATCTGCCTTACAGAAATGCTAAGAGAAGCTCTTCAGTCTTAAAGCAAGTGACACCAGACAGTAATATGAATCCAAATGAAAAACAAAGAGCACCAGTAAAGGTGACTATGTAAATATAAAAGACAGAATAATGTCTATTTCTTCTTTCTTCTGTTTTAAAAAGGAATTGTATAAAACAACATGTATATAGAATTGTATTGTTGGGCTTTTAACATATAGAAATGTAATATATTTGACAATAACAACACAAAGCAGGCAGGTGAAAGCAAAGCTGTAGAGAAATGGCACCAGATGGTAACTGGAAACCACAAGAAACAATGAAGAGAACCAGAAATGGTCAATAATAAATGTTAATATGACAAACTATAACATATACTTGTTTTCTTTTCTTCTCTCAGCTTCTCTAAAAGATATAAAATTATATGTGATACTATAAAAATGTATTTTTGTGCTTGTACTATATATAGATATAATGTTTATAACATAATAGCACAAAAAAAGAGATGAGGGAATAGAGCTAATAGGAGTAACATTTCTACAGCTCATTAGAATTAAGTTAGTATAAATCTAGTAGATTCTGATAAGTTAAGATGTATACTGTAAGCCCTAGAGCAACCACTGAGAATATAACTAAAAATATATAATGAAAAAAATTAAAATGCTACACTAGGAAACATTCACTTATTGCAAAAGAAAGTAGTTAAAACAGGAATAGAGGAACAGAAAAGACATTATACATACAGAAGCCAAAAAATAAAATGATAAATGTAAATCCAACCATAACAATAATAACATCAAATGTGAATGGATTAAATGACCTAATCAAAAGACATTCAGGTTGGATTAAAAAAAAAACAAGATCCAATTATATGCTCTCTACAGGAGATAGACGAGATTCAAAGATACAAATAGGTTGAAAATAAAAGGAGCTGAAGTGGGCATACTAATATAAAACAAAATAAACTTTAAAATAAGCAAACAAAAAAGATAAAGAGGGAAATTGTATAATAATAAAAGGGTCAATGGTTATAACTGTGTATAACAATTATAAACATACATGCACTTAAGAACCACCCATTGCCATTGAGTTGATTCTGACTCATAGCAACCCTATAGGACAGAGTAGAACTGCCCCATAGGGTTTCCAAGGCTGTAAATCTTTACGGGAGCAGACTGCCACATCTTTCTGCTGCGGGGTGGCTGGTGGGTTCGAACTGCCGGCCTTTCAGTTAGCAGCCGAGCACTTAACCACAGCACCACCAGGGCAGCTAACAACAGAGTTCCAAAATACATGAAGCAAAAACTGACAGAATTGGAGAAAGAAAAAGACAATTCAACAATAATATTTGGAGACTTCAATACCCCACTTTCAATAACGGATAGAACAACTAGGCAGAAAATCATCAAGGACATAGAAGACTTGAACAGCACTATAAAACTACTAGACCTTACAGACACCCATAGAACACTCCATTAACCCAAGCAGAATACACATGCTTCTCAAGCACACTTTCTCCAGGATAGACTATATGCTAAGCCATACACAAACTTTAAATAAATTTAAAGCAATTGAAGTCATACAAAGTATGTATTCTGACCACAGTGGAATAAAATTAGAAATCCATAAGAGAAGGAAATTCACAAATATGTGGAGATTAAACAACAGATTCCTAAATAAATCAACTGGTGTATGGAAGACTGAGATGTTGGTATTTCCTAAAAGGGAAAGTTTAAGAAGCTGAGAGTGGAATTCAGACAAAGGTAAGAAATTCTCGTTAAAACTGAGTTAATGATGGGACATATAAGAGTATCAGCATAAAATGTGGGCCAAAGAAGTCAAATGCAATTGAGTGAAGAAAAACAATCTAAGTAAATACTTATTTTCAGATGGCTATCGAAGCTGTGGAAGTAGATGAGTTCTTCCTTAGAAAATGCATGGAAGGAAATAAAAGTAAAGCAAATACTCTTAGAGACCACATATAATCACAGAGATACGATGAAGATAAAAAATATTTAAAAACAGATTAGGAAAGAGTGGTCATAGGAAGAGAAACTGTCAAAGAACAGATATTCAATCTTCTTAAAAGAAGAGGCCAAGACAAATGTGACTTTTGCTTAGAAAGGAATAAACCATTACAGACCTTTAAAATAAAAATGCTGCTGGAGTAAATGATTCTCTAAAGAGAATAAAAAAGAATTGCATCAAAGAAAGCGAAGATACCAAATACCACACTGAACTCTTGTCTTTTCTTTGAAGGTTGCACATTACCTGTTCAAAATTTGTTGAAGCTTTTCTCCCTTGCTCTAGATCAACTGCAGCTGCCATAAGTAAACATGTTTTCTGTGCAATCAGAATTACTTGATCAGAAGGACAAAACTGGGACAGCTGATAGAAGAAATAACCAGAACTTCAATGAATAGTGAGAATTCTTCCAGGTGAAGACAAACAATCAGAATGAAAATCAGCAACATCCTATCTGAATGACAAAAATCAGCTGGAAAAGCTCATTTCACCTTAAAAATGATACAGATCATAACACTGATTTATGGTTTTAATTTTATTTTATTTTCCATTGTTTTTAGCACCTTCCTAGAGATAAAAAGCTTCATTTCTTTACAGTTTCCCTGTCTCTCCTGTCATTTGTCCCTGTGCTTCTATCTATCTAGTGATTTACTTCTTGGTTTATGTGGTAATTCCTAAGTGATTTTCCCCTTAGCAAATAGATTTCTCTCTGTATTGAATAGAGCTGAAATTAGTACATATATTGTCATGGTTGAGAGAGACAATGTCAAATCTTGACAGGCATTGGGCCTAAGGCATAGCCTCATTGTTAAATCTTGTCCTCTAGCTTTAGAAAAAAACTTTCAGCTTTCTACTACAATAAAATCTTAGGCCGCTTGGGATCCTTATACTCCAGTCCTACTAGTACTATTACAGATGTCAAAATTAAAGCCAATCTTCACCTAATTTAAAAGGCAATTATACCTAAATTTTCAAAAACTATTTCTTTATCTCCCAAAACCTTTAGTGATCATAATCATCACCATCATTAAACCAATAGCATTTCAAGACACCCAGTCTCTCTAGGCCTCAGGTTACTCATATATAAGATGAGGTGGCTGTGCTAGATTATCTCTATAGTTCTTTCCAGCTCTCAAACTCTTAATATTTAATCTATCTTAACATATCAGATCATGTTTAGGAGGGGGTATTCTTTAGCTCCTCCCTTTTCTCATCAATAATCAGTCTTCTTTCTGGCATTTAACCTCTACTTGGGGGCTTACAACTATTTAAAAATGCTACAACTCATACATCCTTACACACAGAACCTACTCTAGGAAAAATTATAAAGTAGGTGCAAGCTTATTTCCTTTTTCAGCCCCTGCTTATCCCCAGATCCCTATTCTGTATTTCTATAGACCTATACCCATAACTCTTCTTAATGTGTTGGTAACTGATAACTGCTTAGAGTATTTCCCTCCTAAAAACCACTTATATTTTAATATAGGACTTTGGGAGACCAAAATTCCTTCAAAGGCAAAGGAATAAGTCTCTAAGAGTAGAACTTTCAGCTCCATGATGGGTGTTTGTGATATTTGGCATTAGGAGACCTGTCCCATGTTCTCACATCATTCCCTATAGGGATCAAATTCTCCTTCTATCATTCCTACTAGACATATATTAAAAGTTCCTAGATTAAGACCCAATCCCACTTTATACTTAGCTCTTGACTATACCCATATTGATTGGTCTTATTCTTATTTTAGTCCATACATGAGATACCTATTAGAAGAGACTTACCTTATAAGAAAGTATGAAAAACTCTCTCATTGTCACTGGGTTCTTGTCAGATTGCACAGCTAAATTCCAAGCTGAAAGTTAACATGAAATAATTAAGTATGAAAATACACTGTTTAGTCTTTACAACTGCAATCTCTAGTACCCATATCTTTAATATTAACATACTAATGAGGGGTTTCTCAAGAGTTAAAAAATTAACTTTAGAATTTTAGAGAAGTTTTTTTTCCAGGCAATTTAGAGACTCCTATCACTTCCAATCCTCAATTCTGGGCCAATGACCAATGGAGATAGTGTTTAACTAAAAAAAAAAAAAAGCGGGGGGGAGGACATACAATAAGAATTCTTAGTTGGTACAAATCCATCTAAAAATGAGGATCACCAAGGAGCTCACCAACTGGAAGTGGTGAAAAGAAGTTAAAATTCAGCAAAGAACAGGGTACACTAGAAGCAAGGGTTGGAGAAGATTGCTGGAAAAATTCACATCTCACAAAGAGTAGTGAAAGGCCCCATTAGGCAACATTCAGCATGAACTTCACCTTGGAAAATCAAAATTAAAATTCAATAAAAGGAGTATTGTAAAATAACTTTTCAAAGTTCAAACTATCAATGTCCTGAAATCTTTCTATAGCTTGAATGTTTGTTATTTTCCATTACTTGAATAAATTTCTTAGAAGTCATATCTCTTTATTTATTCCCTTTTCTCATAGATTAAAACCCTAGTAAACCCCATAAAGCAAGGAGAGGTCCATGTAGAACCAGTCTACTTTTTCACATTGCTGCTTAATTCCTCTTGCTTACTTATCACTGTAGTAATTGCCTCCACAAGTTTTTTTACAAACTTTTTAGAAGCTGAAATAGAACCTTGCTATGGATTGAATAGGGCCCCCACCCCCCAAAAAATACATATTATAAATCTTAACCCGTATACCTGTGGATGTAATACCATTTGGGAATAGGGGTTTCTTTGTTATGTTAATGAGGCCATATCAGTGTAGGGTGTGTCTTAAACTTAACCTATAAAAAGAGCAAATTAGGCACAAAAACAAGTAAACACGAATGGGTGAAAGACGCCACATGGAGCTTTCCTAGGAGAAGAACACCAGAGAAGCTGAGACAACGATTTTTCCAGACAAACGAGAGCCTTCTCCCAGAGCCAGTGCCCTGAATTCTGACATCTAGCCTCCTAAACTGTGAGAAAATAAATTTCTGTTCATTAAAGCCACCCACTTGTGGTATTTCTGTTACAGCAGTATTAGCAAACGAAGGCAAACCTATATAAATTACACAACTCATAATTGTGCAGCTTGATGCATTTTCACCAAGTGAACATGTCCATGTAACCAACACCCACATCAATAAAGATCCTGGTCATTACCAGCAACCCAGAAGCCCTACCCCTATCCTTTTCAAGTCCAATCACCCCTCGACCCGCTTCAAGGGTAAACACTATCCTCACTTCTAAAACCATAAATTAGTTTTGCCAGATTTTTTACTCTTCATCTAGCTTCTTTTGGTTGACATTATGTTTGTGAGATTCATCTGTATTGTTGCATGAAGTTTATTTTCGATGAATCACAGTTAGAGATAAACTGGGCATTCTAGACCAAGTTTTAGAGCAGAACATTGGGTATCCGAACTTACAATTCATCCCTATTTTATTCTTAGATCCATTTCTATAGAAAAAGAAGAAAAACTAATATTTATTGAATATGTGCCAGGTACATACACTATTTCATTTAAAACCCTTAATAACCCCATAAAGTATATATAATTGTTTCCATTTTATAAATAATAAAACTGAGGTCAAGCAAGTTACCTGTGTACCCATAGCTATGAGTGACAGAGCCAGAATTTGAACTCACATCTGTCTGATTCCACTACCCCACAGCGTTTCTCATAGCTACAGAATTTCCTTTTACCTATTTTTCGAAACCAATGAGCTTCATTAGCCCTTGAGTCTGAAGTAAAAGTTTCTCCATCAAAAGGCTGAGCAAGTTTCAGGAGTGCTGCATCAAACAGGAAAATTTGGTGTTGAGGTCTTTCACTTTTTACTCTAGCAAAGTTGTTAATCCTGCTTGAAAACCAGTCACACATGAGTTTGAATATAGACGTTCTTTTTTTTTTTTTACATTGGTGTATACCAAAAGTAATTAAAAAAAAAAAAAAAGCATTACCAAGTGCTAAGAAGGTGTTAACTCAAACTTTGGGGAACAATCATGTCTTTGGAGAGATTTATAATTTTAATTAGTGCAATAATTCACCACCAGACGTAGAAAGATATGATTTACAAGTAAGGAAATAAAGAATAGTAACAATCATTAAAAAGACTGAAATGGAGACTGAGACTTGGAAAAGTATCAATGGGTTGGCATAATATTTACCGAGCTCTCTGTGGGTACTAAGCAGAGCACAGGACCAGGATGTATCGTCATCATCAGAAAGCATCTATTACATATCCACATGCCCTTCTGAGAGGTAAGACTGCCAATCAGCAAAGATTTTCTCTTTTGAAAAGTTTTGGCTTCTAAACCACTTTGCTATGTTTGACACCCTGTTGACACATATTCTTTGAGGTGTACAATTAAACTATTAGAATAAATGGAGTAGAGTTTCTCAGATACGGCATCTTGGGTATGTTTTGTACATAAGGACAGAGGTACATGAGCAGTAGAAATGGAAAGACCTGTTAGGCAAAAAGGACACCATGAAAGAAAGTATGGAGTTGGAAAAAGGAATGCATTGTAGCCAGGTCAGCTTGAAGGAGTGGATAGGGAAGAATTATTAGTAGATAGGGGAGATGACACAGACTTGGGTAGACAGACGGACAGCTGCAAAATAGAGTAAACAATCTGAATTTGATTCAGAGGGCATGAAAAACCAGCAGGGTTCAGAACATTTTTATTCATCTTGATCCTTTTTCCTCTATTCAATTCAATTCCTAGGTTAGGACCAAGTGGCAATTAGGAAGGAAGGAAAGAAGAAAGGAATGAAGGAAGGAAGGGAAGGGAAGGAGGGAGGGCAGAAAATGTCTTTAAAACAAATTTTAATAAAAACAGAATTGAAATCACATTTGCAGATGAATGCTAGTGATGACAAACCTTTCTCTGCTTATGAATGAAGAAACCAAGTAGACTCCTGTGGCAAACGTTAACGAGGAGCTTCATGTTTGAGTCAATGTGCTCAGTGTACTTGGAGAATTTAATAGAGGATAGCATAGCAGCAAGATGAAGAACTGAAAATAACCAAGAAGAGATTTACCTGTATTCAAGCAAGCCAAAAGTCTATCCATTTCTTTCTTTCTAAAAAAATGAAGAAAAGAAAGAGTGTTTTCCAACTGCTTCAAAACTTTTCTATAGAAAAGTGTACAAAAGCATCCCTATTTGTGCCTGAGAGCTAGACTAAGAAAATGAAAAGTTGCAGAGTTTGTTGTTCAAGGCTCTAATCTATCATTTCAACCTCTTTTTCCCCACTGTAGGAGCCCTGGTGGCACAGTGGTTAAGCACTTGGCTGCTAACCGAAAAGCTGGCAGTTCCAAGCCACCAGCGGCTATGCGGGAGAAAGATGTGGCAGTCTCCTTCCATAAAGATTACAGCCTCGGAAATGCTATTGGAGCAGTTCTACTCTGTCCTATAGGGTCACTATGAGTCAGAGTCAACTCAACGCCAATGAGTTTTCCCCACTGTAGGATACTGTTTCTTATTTCCAGTATCCTCCTATTTTTTCTCTTCCCTCTTCTACACTTACTCTCAGAAAAGGATTTCAGTGACTGGTAAGGTTTCATATCACAGGGTCATAGAACTTTAGAGCAGAAAGTGATTTCTGTGATTTTCAAGCTCTTTTTTTTTGGAGAGGGAAATTGAAACCCTTTTTTCACATAAAATTTTATCAAAGTCTAATACACAAGAAAAGATAAAAGTAGAGCTACCTTGGTTGAAACAAGAGAGGGTAGAGGCCTGGAGTCTCCTTCCTGGAAGTTCCTGAGGCAGCACCACGGAATCTCTAGATTTCTGAGGAATCCAGAACCTCTAATCCAGTCCAAATCCCTCATTTAACAGATGAGGAAATGGAACTGGTGATGAACGATGATTTGTCCAAGGTTATGAAGTTAGTGACAATACCAAAACTACTGCCCAGATCTCTTTAATCTCTGGCAAGCTTCTCCACAGGGTATATAAATTTTAACAGAGGAAAAAAGTCTGTTTTGCTTAAACAAAGGAATGAATTGGCAAACTCAACTAAGGAAGTTTACAAGAAGTAGGATAGAGCATACTATATAAGACTGGCCTTATCAGGAGGAGGTCTAGTATTATAGAATAAAGACTGCACTTCAGGAAAAGTAGCAGCTTTCTCAGGGATAAATCTTAGAAATCTAGTCTATAACTTAAAGTAACTTCTTACAGTAAATTTTATTAATTTGAACTTCATTTGAGCAAAAGTTGACTTCTCCACTATTTAATTCAGTGACTATATAAAATAATCTAGGAAGGGTCCACTAATGCAAATATATAGTATAAATCATAAAGGGGACATGGAAAAGGATGTATAATTTTTTAAAAAAGATATGCTGCTTTTAAGAATTTTAGTACATGGGTTGTTGGTACTTAGGTAGATTCTGCTAATTTAGAGCCATAGGATTTTTAGAACAGAAAGGAACTAGAAGTTACCTAGTCCAGATTTTTTTACTGAGGGAAATAAAGTTTAGAGAAGTTAAATAAGTTGCCATTGCCCAAAGGTAAACTGGAAGTGAATGAAATAGCTGAAACTAGAACTTGATTCTTACAAATTAATCTAATCTATTTGTTAAATCAGGTCCTGATCCCTATCTGAAAACACTGCTGGGATATGTTCTTTATTACTATGTTTATCTGGAAACAACAAAGCTATGTTTTAAAAATATCCTGTAATTTAAATTTATCATTAATTCAAACAAGATTCCCTCTTTTTCCCCTCACCCCAAATTGGTTTTAATGAGTGGGATTTGACTGTATGCCACAATTACCTGGAATACAAAGCCCCTTGTAAGTTCAGTGCTGAAGATCTTCTAAAGAACTGATATTCAGTCATTTAATAAAGTGAGTGGCTATTATGTGTCAGATACTGTCCTAGGTTCCAGAGATACAAAGATAAATACCAATAGTTTTAGCCCTCAAGGAGCTCTTATAATCCAGTAGTTACCGAGGTTTGGTCTCTGAATTTCTTTTGTTTGTTTTTTTACTTTTTATTGTGGAAAATTTTAAAGATGATCAAAGGTTGACAGAAGAGTATAATGAATTCCCATGTACCCATCACCCAACTTCAGTAATTAACTCTGGATCAATCTTATTTCATTGATACTTCCACCCATTTCTTCTCCTCCCATATCATTTTAAAGTAAATTCCAGAAATTATATAATTTTATCCATAAATATTTCAGCATGTGTCTCTAAGAGATAAGGACTCTTTAAAAAAATAACCACACTACTATTATCACACCTAAAAATGAACAATTCCTTAATATCATCAAATACTTGGTCATTATTCAAATTTCCAATAGTCTCATTACTATCTCTTTTTTTAAAGCTTCTTCATTTGAGTTCCCTTGTAATGAGTTCATAGAGCCTGTCAGAAAGAGGCAAAACTCATCATTTATACTTGGATAAAATCTGTATCATGAGAAAAAGAGTTATAATTAATCTCTCCAATGTTATCTCAGTTACAGATATTTCTCTAAAAGTTTAGTTGAAAAAAATATATCGCCTCCAGCTGCAACTATATAAAGCAAAAGTGAGGTAGAGATACACTATTACAGAGTTCTTATCCAAGTAGAGAATATAGAGAAAGATGAGACTATCCACTAATTTTTCACTAATTTTCTTCTGAAAGATATCCCTAATGAAGACCTTGAATAGAATTTTCTTTCAAATTATCTGGAGGTAGCGAGTTTTGTGAATGAAAAATTGGTGACCCAATTCTTCCATAAATTGTTATGTTCTTGGTATCTTATGTCATAGAAACCTTGAGCAGAAACACATATGAATACTCTCAGTTGACTGATATAAAATCAGAATTAACAAGCCATCCGGGTTATGTTCTGTGGGAAAGTTAAAAGATATGTCTATATTTGAGTCTCCTGTTAAGGAAAGGAAGAGACAGACAACAATATCATCATTAGATCATAGCTAACATTATTGACCACCACACACTTGTCAGTTTGTCATACTGTGGTAGCTTGTGTGTTGCTATGAGGCTTGAAGCTATGCCGTTGATGTTTCAAATACCAACAGGTCACCCATTGGTGGACAGGTTTCAGAGGAGCTTTCAGACTAAGACAGACTTGGAAGAAAAGCCTGGTGATCTACTTCTGAAAATTAGCCAATGAAAACTCTATGGATTACAACAGAATATTGTCCAATATAGTGCTGGAAGTTGAGCCCCCTAGGTTGGAAGGCACTCAAAATACACTGTGGCTGCAGTAATGAACTCACATATACGATTGATCGTGAAGATGGCACAGGACTGGGCAACATTTTATTCTGTTGTACAAGGAGTTTTCATGAGTCGGAGCCAACTCAACAGCAAATAACAACAACAACAAACATTACTGAGTGCTTACTAAGTGCCTGGCACTGAGGGTTTTACACGTATTAACTCATTGACTCATCACAACAACCCCATGAAGTAGGTACTATTATTATTCTCACTTTACAGATGGGGAAACTGAAGCCCAGAGAAGTTCAGAAACTTGCCCAAGGTTACACGTCTAATAAGTAGCAGAGCCAGGATATGAACCCAGGAAGACTGGCTCCAGAGCCATTAAAATATACATCTCTCAATATAAGGTTTATATTGACTAATGGTGAATACATCATTTCTGTTAAATAACTTACTTATTTTCAGATTCCAGCATTTGAGAAATTTTTGGAAGAGCAAGACGAAACAAACATCTGTATGAAAAAGTAATATAGAAAGTGATGTTTAGGAAGAAACGTGTATATATACCCGGTTATTAACTTTGATTACCCCAGGAGGCATAAGTGAGAAAAGAGGGTAAGGGGGAGATCAATTTTATTTATAGATCTTTGTATTGTTTTAATGGCTGCAATAAAAACATATCAATTTTGCAATTTTGGAAGAGGAATTTAATAAAACAATTTAAAAACAAAATTGCTGCTTATAACAAAATTTTAAATGGTTCCAGAGTTCACATCTTTGCCCCAAATCACCTGCTAGAACATCAGGTATGGTGTAAAGGAACCTGACCTTTGAGTTCACCTAAACTAGAAAGATAATTCTTTGAAGCGACCTGGCAGCATAATGACAAAATAAGGTAGTTTGTAAAGTTTCAAACCCGAAAAAAAACTTTAAAAATGAGAAAAAAAAATCTTGAATGATTTAAGATATTTACTTGACTGAAGGCATGCAAGTATCTCAAGACTCCTTCAGATTCTTTTTCTGTGATTCCATTTCCCTTGGGAAGTGTAGCCTCAAGTGTAGTTGACCAACAGGAAACTACTATAGAATCCCTCTGTTGCCCCATTTTTCCCACTGGCATTTTATTAGTCACACCATTGGGAGTTATCATGCCCCAACTTCACCCTCTGCTGCCTCATTACTGTATGTAGAAATTCCCTTTTGACAAATCATTTCCCTTCGTCTGGAGTAATGGTATAGTAGGCATTGACTCAGCCAGATCTCATCAGTACTATTTCGGCAAAGTTTGCAGGCCAAAAGTAAGATGAGCAGAGGTAATCCTTTCACCTCCACAGGATGTGGATTACTTACTTTAAAGCGATAAAGACTTGTTGCGGGTCTTCTGAATGTTGAGCTAAATATTCCAAAGCTTTTTCTGCCACAATTTGTTGTTCATTCTAAAAAGAACAAATATAATATAAAATATTAAATTTACATCTCTAAGTAATACCTGCAAAATGTTATCTATATTCCTGTCTATTAAGGAAAAGAAAAAAATCTGAACTTGTTCATTCTGTATTCTCAAAAGAGCTATTTCAAGATGGTAGAATAAAGATACAACTCATTTGCAAAAACAGAACAGGCTCATGTTTAGCCCCATGAACCCATTCTTCCCTATCCACAAAAACTCACTGTCTTGCCAACACTGCCTTGAATCCACTAAGACTAATCTTATTGTGCTCTTTTTCCCTGTTTATTAGCAATAACTCAAAGAACCCCAGACTTTCAGGTCACCCTAATTTCCAGCGCTGTATTCCCCAAAAGGCTCTGTACATCCTCTCTTCTGTACTTTTCTCCTATCTCTCCACAACTCCTACAACTCTTCTACTAAAAACTCAAACCTGTTGCCGTCGTGTCAATTCTGACTCATAGCAACCCTATAGAACAGAGTAGAACTGCCCCGTAAGGTTTCCAACGAGTGCCTGGTGGATTCAAACTGCCGACTTTTTGGTTAGCAGCCGAACTCTTAACCACCACGGCACCAGGGTTTCCATCCTTCTGCTATGCCCTCTGAAATTCACAGTCCATTATCAGCAAAATCTCCTCTACGAGCAGCCTCTTCCCTGAAAGTTCCCTCCATATTCTTGCTCTATGGAAATCTAGGTCCCCACCAAGGATACTGCTTCCACTGAAGCCCTCTCAAGTCGTGACTGTTTTTGCTCTGTCTTTCTACCCCTAGGTCTGGAGATGAAGTAGGTGTCCTTCTTGCTCTTTATTGCCATTTTAAAATCACACTCTCTTCCTCCTCCCCAGCTTTGAATCTCATATCATCAGACTATATTGCCTACTATCCTTCATTGTTGGTGTGATCTAACAGCTCCCAGGCCATTTCTTCTTATTTCTTGATGAGTTATCTACTGCTCACAGTTAGTTTCTCCAGAACTACTCCTGTCTTAATTTTTGGCATTTTCAATATATAAGTAGATGATCTCCCAATATCCTAGTCTCTTAGTTCCTTGAATTCCACACTGCCAATGAACTCATTCTCTACCTTATCTTAGCCATACACTAGATCCTGTTATTACTAATACAAGTAGTCCTGACTTACTACGTATTTGAGTTACAATGAACCACACTTATGACCATCAGGTTTTTTTTTTTTTTTTAACATCTTATCGTTAGTGATATCTACTGCATACAATGTTGCATCACGTAATTTGCTGATGCTATCATTCTCAGATGTTCAATTTTCTGATTTACTGTTCAAAACACTGCTGTATAAATGTAGTTTTCTAAACTAAATCAGGGGCTTCAGTTGCTTGAAAACATGGACCCAAAAGCTAAAATCGTCTTGCTAAAGTCGATAGGCAGATTCAGGAATAAGTGAGATGTTACCATGAAATATATGAATAAAAACAAAAAAGGACCATACAGACAACTCTCACTAATTTTCTGACTGGAAACGCCATTCCCATTCCCAGGGATAATCCAAATGATCCAGAACCTTCCACAAGTGGAGTTATTACCGCAACCGACAAAATGCCAACATCGTCCAACTCTTATATTGTTGGAGTAAATTTTTATGATTTGTGTATTTTTTATGTATGTATGTATTAAAATATATCTATAAGTTTATATGTAATGTTTCTAAGCCCAAAGGCAAATAAAGATTGGATTTAGAAAGATACTGATAATGTTGTTTCATGTCATACAGTTGGTTCTGACTCATAGCGACCGCACGCACAACAGAACAAAACACTGCCTGGTCCTGTGCCATCCCCACAATCATTGCTATATTTGAGCCCATTGTTGCAGTAAATGTGTCAATCCATCTCACTGAGGGTCTTCCTCTTTTTCTCTGATCCTCTACTTTACCAAGCATGATGTCCTTCTCCAGCGACTGGTCCCTCTTGATAACATGTCCAAAGTACGTGAGACAAAGTCTCGCCATCCTTGCCTTTAAGGAGCATTATGGCTGTATTTCTTCCAAGACAGATTTATTCCTTCTTCTGGCAGTCCATGGTGTATTCACTATTCTTCACCAATACCATAATTCAAAGGCATCAATTCTTCTCCGGTCTTCCTTATTCATGGTCCAGCTTTTGCATGCATATAATACCATGGCTTGGGTCAGGCCCACCTTAGTCCTCAAAGTGACATCTTCGCCTTTTTTTAAAATTTAATAATAATCTTTTTTATTGTACTTTAGATGAAGGTTTACAGAGCAAACTAGTTTCTCAATAAACAATTAATACATATATTGTTTTGTGACATTGGTTGCCAACCCCACGACATGCCAACACTCTCTCCCTCTTGACCATGGGTTCCCCATTACCAGCTTTCTGTACCCTACTGCCTTCTCGTCCTTGCCCCTGGGCTGGTGTGCCCCTTTAATCTCGTTTTGTTTTATGGGCCTATCTAATCTTTGGCTAAAGGGTGAACCTCAGGAGTGACTTCATTACTGAGCTATAAGGGTGTCCGGGGACCATACTCTCGGGGTTTCTCCAGTCTCTGTCAGACTAGTGAGTTAGAATTTTGTTCTACATTTTTCTCCAGCTCTGTCCGGAACCCTCTATTGTGATCCCTGTCAGAGCAGTTGGTGGTAGTAGCCGGGCACCATCTAGTTGTGCTGGACTCAGTCTGGTGGAGGCTGTGGTACTTGTGGTCCGTTAGTCCTTTGGACTAATCTTTTCCTTGTGTCTTTGGTTTTCTTCATTCTCCCTTGCTCCAGATGGGGTAAGACCAGTGAAGTATCTTAGATGGATGTGCAAAAGCTTTTAAGACCCAGATGCTACTCACCAAAGTAGAATATAGGCGATTTTCTTTATAAACTATTTTATGCCAATTGACTTAGATGTTTCCTGAGACCATCGTCCCCACAGCCTTCAGTCCAGCAATTCAGTCCCTCAGGGAATTTGGATGTGTCTATGGAGCTTCCATGACCTTGCCTTGGACAAGTTATGCTGGCTTCCCCAGTATTGTGTACTGTCTTACCCTTCACCAAAGTTACCACTTATCTATTGTCTATTTAGTGTTTTTCCCTCCCCATCCCTCCCCTCCCCTCCCTCATAACCATCAAAGATTGTTTCTTTTTGTGTAAATCTTTTCATGAGATTTTATAGTAGTGGTCTCATATAGTATTTGTCCTTTTGTGATTCACTTATTTCACTCAGCATAATGCCCTCCAGATTCATCCATGTTGTGAGATGCTTTGCAGATTCATCATTGTTCTTTATCATTGCATAGTATTCCATTGTGTATAAACCATAGTTTATCTATTCATCTGTTGATGGGCACCTAGGTTATTTCCATTTTTTTGCTATTGTGAACAACGCTGCAATGAACATGGGTGTTCATATGTGTATTTTCGTGATGGCTCTTATTTCTCTAGGATATGTTTCTAGGAGTGGGATTGCTGGATCATATGGTATTTCTATTTCTAGCTTTTTAAGGAAGCTCCATATTGTTTTCCAAAATGGTTGTACCATTTTGCATTCCCACCAGCGGTGCACAAGAGTTCCAATCTCCTCGCAGCCTCTCCAACATTTGTTATTTTCTGTTTTTTGATTTGTGCTAGTAATGTTGGGGTGAGATGGTATCTCATTGTGGTTTTGACTTGCATTTGTCTAATGGCTAGTGACTGTGAGCATTTCCTCATGTATCTGTTAGCTGCTTGAACGTCTCCTCTGGTGATGTGTCTCTTCATATCCTTTGCCCGTTTTTTAATTGGATCATTTGTCTTTTTGTTGTAGAGGTGTTGGATTTTTGGGTAGACTTTAGAGATTAGAACTTTGTTGGAGTTGTCGTAGCCAAAATTTTTTTGCAGTCTGTAGGTTCTCTTTTTACTCTTTTGGTGAAGTCTTTTTGATGAGCATAACTGTTTAATTTTTAGAAGATTCCAGTTATCTAGCTTTTCTTCTGGTGTTTGTGTATTGTTAGTTATGGTTTGTATTCTGTTTATGCTGGGTATTAGGGCCTCTAGCGTTGACTCTATTTTTTCTCCTATGATCTTTACAGTTTTTGGTTTTATATTTAGATCATTGATCCATTTTGAGTTAGTTTTTGTGTATGGTGTGAGTTATGGGTCCTGTTTCATTTTTTTTGCAGATGGATATCCAGTTTTGCCAGCACCATTTGTTAAAAAGCCTGTCTTTTCCCCATTCAATGGACTTTGTGCCTTTGTTGAAGATCAGGTGACCATAGGTAGATAGATAACATCTTTGCTTTTAGCACTTTAAAGAGGTCTTTTGTAGCAGATTAGCCCAATGCAATGTGTTTTTTGATTTCTTGACTGTTGCTTCCATGGGCGTTAATTGTGGATCCAAGTAAAATGAAATCCTTGACAACTTCAGTCTTTCTCCATTTATCATGATGTTGCTTACTGGTCTACTAGTGAGGATTTTTGTTTTCTTTATCTTGATGTGTAATCCATACTGAAGGCTGTAATATTTGATCTTCATCAATAAGTGCTTCAAGTCCTCTTCACTTTCAGCAAGCAAGGTTGTGTCATCTGCATATCGCAGGTTGTTAATGAGTCTTCTTCAATCCTGATGCGACTTTCTTCTTCAAATAGTCTAGTTTCTTGGATTATTTGCTCATCATACAGATTGAATAAGTATGATGAAAAGATACAACTCTGATGCACACCTTTCTTGATTTTAAACCACGAAGTATGCCCTTGCTCTGTTCGAACGACTGCTTTTTGGTCTATGTACATGAGCACAATTGAGTGTTCTGGAATTCCCATTCTTTGCAATGTTATCCATAATTTGTTATGATCCACACAGTCGAATGCCTTTGCTTAGTCAAAAAACACAGGTAAACATCTTTCTGGTATTCTCTGCTTTCAGCCAAGATCCATCTGTCATCAGCAATGATATCCCTTGTTCCACATCTTCTTCTGAATCCTGCTTGAATTTCTGGCAGTCCCCTGTTGATGTACTGCTGCAACTCTTTT